AAACAGGAAAAAAGCCAAAATAATTTAAAATAATTTAAAAATATGCAAACATGTAAAAGATTTAATTCTCGAACTAATCTACAATATCATTTAAATTCAGAAGTATAAGCAAATCAAGTGCAAAATCTATCCATGAAAATAAATCTACTAATTTAATATATTAAAATTAAATTAAACAATTTTTTTTTTTAAAATGCATATGTGAATGATCGTAGAGTAGGCAGGAGACAGACTTATCAAGGGGAAGTTGCCACCAAACCTAACTCTCCAATCATTCAATTCGCGTTTCGTCATTCATGCAGGCAAGGGTAAAAGTCAAAACCAAAAGTAATTCCAATAAAGTGGTATCCTTAGAAATTTACATTTAAGTATTAACATTTAAGAATTAAAGTTAAGAAAGAAAATACTAATTAAGTCTTTTGAGAAACAAACAAGTAAAGTCAAGAATTAAAACTTTTTCTTAAAAAATTAAATTTTTTAAAATTAATTTTTATAAAATAATAAAAAAAATCTAGAAACCAATGTATTTTAGAAATCCTTGTCTACAGAAACTTCCCCTACACGAATATGCATATCAATAAAACGAAAACTATAAAAGAACTATACATAATTCATATAAACCAATAAGAAACAAAAAGAACTAATTCACAATTTCTAAAATAAATATATATTTAAAATATAATTTCATATTTAAAAATACTTAGATACTACATAAAAAATTTTAAAAAAATACTTAAAGCAAGTAAATAGTAAGTTTTAATTCTAACTTACCTACTATATGAGTGTTGGGGTCTGCAAAAGTGTTGTGAAAGAGAAGTAAGTGTGTTCTTCAAATTATATAGATGGCACTTATGTAGGTAAAGTTGAGTGTCAAGTTGCATCTTTGTTATAGTAAAAAATTTTTTGTAAATATTAATGTTAATTAAATTAAATTAAATTAAAAATCCTAAAGGTAGTAATATCAATTATTTAGGGAGTTAAGTAACTGAGCTAATCAAGAGATGTATGTTTGCTTGAAGGAAATTAAAGTGAAGTGGTATCTGAAAAAAATTTAAACTGTTTGTAATTTGAAATGTGGTTCTGTTGAAAAATTGTGAAAATTGTTAAAAAAATTTAAGTGAGAGATTTTTTGTGAAAATTGCAAAAAATTAACCAAGTACCACCAAAATTTATTAATTTATATATTAAAAAGGCAGGCCTTGACTTTACTTTATAATTTTTTGGCTCTTTTGGATATGATAACATTACCTTAAACCTTAACTGGAGGGTAATGAAGGATATAAAAGAGTAGAGAAATTATTGTAAATTTTGATTGTAAATATTTTGTAAATATGTATATTTAATCAATACTGGATTCTTTCCTTTTACTAATAAAGGGCCAACTCTTTTTAACAATTTTCACAATTTTTCAACAGAACCACATTTCAAATTACAAACAGTTTAAATTTTTTTCAGATACCACTTCACTTTAATTTCCTTCAAGCAAACATACATCTCTTGATTAGCTCAGTTACTTAACTCCCTAAATAATTGATATTACTACCTTTAGGATTTTTAATTTAATTTAATTTAATTAACATTAATATTTACAAAAATTTTTTTACTATAACAAAGATGCAACTTGACACTCAACTTTACCTACATAAGTGCCATCTATATAATTTGAAGAACACACTTACTTCTCTTTCACAACACTTTTGCAGACCCCAACACTCATATAGTAGGTAAGTTAGAATTAAAACTTACTATTTACTTGCTTTAAGTATTTTTTTAAATTTTTTATGTAGTATCTAAGTATTTTCTAAATATGAAATTATATTTTTAAATATATATTTATTTTAGAAATTGTGAATTAGTTCTTTTTGTTTCTTATTTCTTATTGGTTTATATGAATTATGTATAGTTCTTTTATAGTTTCGTTTTATTGATATGCATATTCGTGTAGGGGAAGTTTCTGTAGACAAGGATTTCTAAAATACATTGGTTTCTAGATTTTTTTATTATTTTATAAAAAATTAATTTTTAAAAAATTTAATTTTTTAAGAAAAAGTTTAATTCTTGACTTTACTTGTTTGTTTCTCAAAAGACTTAATTAGTATTTTCTTTTTTAACTTTAATTCTTAAATGTTAATACTTAAATGTAAATTTCTAAGGATACCACTTTATTGGAATTACTTTTGGTTTTGACTTTTACCCTTGCCTGCATGAATGACGAAACGCGAATTGAATGATTGGAGAGTTAGGTTTGGTGGCAACTTCCCCTTGATAAGTCTGTCTCCTGCCTACTCTACAATCATTCACATATGCATTTTTATAGAAAAATTTTTAAAAAATGTTTAATTTAATTTTAATTTATTAAATTAGTAGATTTATTTTCATGGATAGATTTTGCACTCAATTTGCTTATACTTCTGAATTTAATGATATTGTAGATTAGTTAGAAAATTAAATCTTTTACATGTTTGCACACTTTTAAATTATTTTGGCTTTTTTCCTTTTTTTAGAATTTAAATTTGCTTTTTTACTTTTTTACGTATTTGTTAAGAATTTAAATTTGTTTAAATTTATATTACAGGACTGGTTGAACAGGCGAGCAGCAAGGATGGAGAGCAGTTGGACAGACAGAATTTAAGTAGGACTAGTTGGACAAACAAGCAGCAAGTATGAAGAGCAGTTGGACAGGCAAGTGAGATACAGAATTTCAGTATATTCAGCTGGCAGCTATTTTCAAGTTTATCAAAAGAAATGAAGGATTTAATATCCACAAAACTTCAAATAAAAATGTGAAAAACAATCAGAAGTTGTTGAGATATCTTCATAAACATCTAAACTTACTAAAAGAATACATTAAGGAAGAAAGCTTAGCTTTAGAACATGCACAGACAGTGTTCTTTTCATGAATATATAGTTTGGCTACCCCATGAGAATGAATTAGGAAATTCAAGAACATTTGTTCAAGTGTATATTTGTAGACGCTGACCAATTTTTACTCAAAAGTGTATTTGTGTGTATGTTCTTGCAAACTATAAACAATTGATCAAACAATAGCTCAAAGGACTGTAACACATCTTTAAGTCATCTGAAACCAAGCCTAGCATGACATGCCCACGAGTGGCTGCAGAGATAAGACTGCTAAACACTGGTAGTTATCTGGATTCAAATACCAATTAATGAGTGGCAGCATGGGAGTTTTCCTGGATTTTTCATGTGAAAATGAGTATGAGCCAGTGTCCATTAGAAAGTTCTCTAGAAGGCATTCTCTTCTTAGATAGACTTATGCATTTTGCTCTAATGAAATACTGGAGCATGAAACTAACCTAGTACTAAGTATGAAATACTGGAGTTTGGGGGTCTTATTCACTTGAGTCAGATCATAAGAAGACTACACAACATTACCTTCAGTTTTATTTAAAACTTGTACAATATAATGTGTTATTGCATACAATTTAAAATGCTTTTAAAATGAAACATGACATTGTCATTGCACTTCTTACCCTGTAGCCAGCAAGTGATTTATCAAGATACTAACATTACCTGAAAACGTTGTGTCTTATCCCATTCTGCACAAATTTCAGGGATCAGAAAATTCGGATAATTTTTCTTTCTTCCTGTTCTGCTGAACACACTTCTTTTACAACTGTCTTTTATTGGTGCTTCTGAAGTTACTGTAGTTCATTCTTGTCGAGCTCACTTTTACAGTCCTGTAACATCGAAGCCCATGATTTTGCCTAGAGACACAAACGTCCCAGAAAATGAAAAAAGTCTGAAGTGTCAAAGTGCTGACCACAGGGGGATTCCTAGCCGAAACATGTTTCACTGTCCTGCTTAGCTAAACAATTTTTTTTTTGAAACTGAAGTAAAAACATTTGGTTTGAAACTTTGTTCCTTGTACAACTTCTCCAAAGAAAAGGTTTTCATAAAAGTCAACTAATCAGGTATCCAAAAACAAAAATTCTGGGAAATGTTTTCTTTCAAAGCATTATTAAGGGTAGCAGATGTGATACCAGTTTTAGCCACTTGCTGCAGACCTTGTTATCACAGTTAAGCAAATATTACTTCAAAATACCTTTGAATATGCTGCCGTCTGGAGTGTTCATAACTCAAGAATTCATTCATCATCTGAGATATTTTTTGTTCAGTAATTTGCTCATGAACCAAAATGTTCATGAAGAGAATCTTTTGTTCTCTGGTGTGTCACTGTATATAGATAACTCAGTACTGATGTAGTTAGTACTCAGTCTATTACTATTGCAGTCATACTTGATTAGGATATGATCATCCAACTGCAAACTACCGAGAAGAACTTTATAAATCATGCAGACGGTACTAATATTCAAACAATCTAATAATGGAAGGAGATCATGAAACTGAAGATTGTCCTACAATGTGTGGAACTCCACACCACAAATGTATCCACATTACCTAGCAGAAATATGGTGGAGATCTGATAATTAAATTTTAACTATTTTTTGGGCATGCTGAACAGCACTTGTATAGATGAAGAACTCATAAAAACAGCCCTTTTAAGGATCCCTCCTGCTTTTGGTTTGTAACATTGGGAGCAATTTAAATTAAATGAAATTACTTACCATTTCCTTTCCCCCAGCATTTTAGGTTTTATTCTTCTATCAGATTACACCCTTCCCTCAGCCTTTTCAATACATTTATTTGTGTATTGCTTAGCTCACTAGTAGGCATTTCTGCTTCATTGTTGAGATTTTATTCCTTTAATTATATGTGCATTATATATCCTCACACAAAAACTCAATGATTTATTTACTGTTTCATTTCTAAAATGACAAAGATTAATGTCTCAAAATTACTCAGTACTACCATTTTATTGTAATACAATTTCAATTTATTCCTGTAAGCTTTGAATATACACTTAATATGGAAATAGTACTCTCATGTTATGCGAGCTCTCATATTATCATTTTACTTATTAACAAAATATAATGTAGTTTCAGATATCTAATGAATTATACAAACATAAAAATTACCTTAGCATCATATTTAGAGTAGAATGTCAAATGATTCAGCTTTACTTCTAACTTCCCACCTTTCAAGAAACCAAATGTAGATATCCTAAAGTAACTCCTTACATCATTCTAAGAGATTGAAACAGTAATATACATATTAAAAGTCTTTTAAAAAATACTGAATATATTAAAACAATTTACACACAAATGAAATTTAATCAACATTTTGAGCATTTATATGACTTTCAGAAAAATAATAAGACATATGATAGTTATTATTATTATTATTATTTTAAATTTACATGCTTAGTTACATAAAACATTTAATTTAATTGCAAAGACTTTGTTTTATTACTTGCTAATTTGGACTGATAACCTTCAAAAGAAGTTACAACATTGCAAATCCTTTCTTCAAATATGTGTAGAGATTGGGTTGTAAGACTTCTTTGGCGAAATGAAGCAACTCCAATGATGGAATACAGCAATAACTTTTATTTAACACTAAAAAAAATGGCGACATACAAACAAGAAGAGAAAACATATTCTAACATTTAAAAATAAATTATATTCTTCGTGCGAGAGTCGCACGTGGCACTCGAGTCTGGTTTCAAATATTGCCATTCACAAATACCTTAATGTTCATCTATTTAAATTATTTATACTACAAGATTTTAATACTATTTAAAGCTGTTACAGGGTGCTGCATGAATAAGATGTGAAAATTGCATTTTCTTTATTTTTTAATTTTCAAATAATTCAGTTTGACAACCTGAATAATTATAATTTTAATTTAATAACACTTATAAAATCACATTAACAGAAATTTCATCTATTATAGACAACATTAACAAACTGCAGTCAGAGTTTAAGAAACACAAAAAAGTACTGAAAAATTGCATTTGTAAGATTTAACTAAAGTTATCAAAGAGGAGCAAAGCTTTCAAACATGTAATATTTGTATTAGTGCAAGCCAGACATGCTCATTTATGTGTCTAAATGGTGAATTTACTAACTACAACTTATAAACAAAATATTTAAAATACTTCTAAATTATTGTAGTTATGTACCTGTGATTAAACGCATATGTTTGATTAAAATGGAAACAAAGTAAAGAAATAAAACTGAGGATTTTCAAGTACACAATATCTTGGGCAAAATCATCCCAGGTTTTTCAGGCTACTATCTGATTATTTGAAATCCCTGAGGGAAAAGTGCCCCCACTGAAAAGTTGTGAATTCATCGGTGATTATTTTTTTGCCAAACTAACGCAAGAAAGGGCAACAGCTATTTTCTATTTCTGTAATATAAAATTAAAATATAAAATAAATATAAATTTGTAATATAAAATCAATAAAATTAAAAAAGCAAGAAACATCAATAATAAAATACTTATCTTTTCACAGAAATCAGTTTTTTGGGGAAGGGCTGTTATCTTTTGATGTACACAACCACCTGATTTTGTTTAAAAAAACATCAAAGAGTAGTACATACTTGGCATAATACAACTTTGGGATTAAACACTGGCTTCTGATGCCATTGAAATTGAATTTTATGGTCCTAGACACGAATAATATATGAATTTAAAAAAACCTACTCTTGCTCATTGTTCTGTGGGTGGTGGTCTCACTGTGAAACCACCGCACGTCTAGGATTTTGAAACTTGCTGATGTAGTTAAAAAAAAACTTACAATTTTCCGCGCGAGTTTACAATAAATGACGAAATTTACAGATTTTAAAAAAATGTATGTAAGAATTGCATAATATATAATTTTTTTACATTATTTTACAAAGTAAATTGTCAGAAAAAATTAAAAAATAAACATTCATGTAATTTTTCTACAGCAGTGAAAACATAAGTACTTACATAATAAGGACATTTGGATAAATGGATTAAAAAACTCAATAAAATAAGGATAAAATTTTTTTTTTTTTGTAATTTCAAAGAACTCTTTTTTCCTTTTTTTTGTGACACTGTTCAAAGCATTTTTTGTCTCTTTGGTACATGCATAGACCCATATTGCACGTTTCGCACATACATCTTGTTCTATGAGGTTTCTTCTTTGTGCTACAAAATGCCTGGATTTAAATTTCACTGGTATATGTCCAGCGTTATTTAGTTTCCTTTCATCAGGCACATGAAATTTGTGGTTTTTTTTATGTTAATGAAGGGGGGGGGGCCTTGGTCTTTTTGGCTTTGTACGGATCGTTCGTTTCCCATTCATACTTATTTTATTCGTATTTCATCCCAAAATATTCAGAAAATGTTTTTAATTTAAATAAAACTTTTACGGAATTTCTATTTTTAATTATAGCAAAGTATATTTACATTAAATTTAAACCACAGGAAATAATTTATAAAATTACAATACTAGCTTGGGGAGCGTGTTGATGTCAGAGAAAAGTATTTGGAAAAGAAAGACCTTTTTACTGGGCAAGTGCATGTATTGTTTAGTAATAAAATAACTCTGTGGTTTCAAAGCCCTTTATCTATATCCGGCTAAAAATAAACATTCCTATTTGAAAAGCAAGCGAATGCCATTGAGAAGCAAACGCCAGTGGTTTCAAGGCGCGACCACCGAGCCTCTAGAGGATTGTAAGCATTGTGACACAATGCTCTAGTGGTGCAGTGGTCGTGCCCTGAAACCACATAGCAAATGCCATACATATAGAGGGTTTTTTTTTTATATATGCAGTTTAATTACTGCAATTTTTTATTGTTTATGATAGAAATCATGATGTGCGATGACTAACTTTTGAAATTTAAAGTTGTTTATATTAATAAAAGGAAGTTATTTTGTCTCATCGAAAACGAATTTTAAAACGCATCCAATCTGAAGTATTAATACCTAAAACATATATGATTCTACAGTCACTTTGTATTATTTAGATGTAAAAGATCAGTAATCAATTCATTTTTACTAAAAAATTTTCGAAAAAAGAGGAGAAAAAAAATCGGAAAATGGTGGTTTCAGGGCACGACCACCACGCGTCAAAGGGTTAAGAAAATCCTCTCTTTTGGTTTTGGATCAGTTTAGCGCCCATAGAACTGAAACCATAAAGAATAAAGCGAGAGAATTAAAAACCCAGATAGCTGTCATTCCTAGTGGACTGACTAGCCAATTGCAGCCTTTAGATGTCTCGGTGAATAAGCTATTTAAAGAAAAAGTGCAAGAACGATGGAACAAGTGGATAGGAGAGCCACATCACGCCCTCAGGTGAATGAAGCGGCCCTCTATTTCACAAGTGTGCGAGTGGGTAAAAAGACCTTGGGAGGATGTAAAGGGTGAAGTAATTGTTAAGTCCTTTAAGAAGTGCGGAATCAGTAATGCTCTTGATGGAACAGAAGACGACACATTATTCGAAGAAGGTAATACTAGAGATAACGGAAACAGTAGTGATGACGATATTCTCGTTTTTGACGATGATGATAGTAAAAAGGATTTTTATGGTTTTGAAAGTGATTAAAGTCTAATTTCATGACAGGCAACGTTTTCCTTGAATCTGTGTTTTTTGTTGTTTCTGCTTTACTTTGTATTATGTTTGATTGCTTGCTGTTTATTCATTATTTAAATTTACATATCATGTTCAAAATAGCTTGCCGTTTGTTAATTTTCCTTAATAAAAATATGTTTGTTAATTGTATTCAATGATTGTTTATTTGACTTTTACGAAACGTGAGAACTAAAAGAAACCACATTTTAAGTTATTGTGGTACCGCGCAGCTATCGCGCGGATTATTGAAACTTTTTTCCCTTGTGTGTGGCCTTCTAAATATGGGTGCGTCTTATATGCCGTCAAATACGGTACTCGGAAAACCTAAATGCACTGAAAAATAATTTTGAACTCCACTTCTCTGATTTCTGTAAAGTTCAACCAATATTATTTTTCATCTCAAACCCATTTGCCAAAATTAATATTTCAGATGTATCACATAAGATTGGATATATTTAACAAAAACATTGATGTTTTGGAAATGTGCTCGCGATAGGCCAAAGGTTGGGCACCACTGTCTTAAATAATATTTAACATATGAGGGATAAGACATTACTTTTGTACCCAGATGGCCAGCAACCGAAAAATGTTTCTAATTTTCCTGACTAAAATTAATTTTTATTAATTTGCAGATAATCCCTTTATGCAAAATATAGATAAAACCTTTCAGCACATTTCATGAAAACTTTTTTATATGTAAACACCGAACAGCTTACAAAATAGTTTTGATATCCTGACTAACTTCATTTTTATAATTTGTAAATATGCCTGTTAAGCTGATATGATCTTTCATAAAGAATAAAAAGTTATTAAGTTTAATATAGAACCTTACTTAAACATGCACAGCCAGCATAATTATTTTCAATGAAGAGCTGTTTCATATTATTTCAGACTGGGATATCATTGATATACAGGTGCATTTTATGATGACTGTTATAAAGTGAAAAGTCAAATTATTCTACATAACTTCAATATTTAGCATATGATCAACATGAATTCAGGAAAAAACTCTGTGCTTTGAGGCAGCCTCGTTCACCTCAGTGATCCATGATAAAATGAGTGTTACAAACCTGATGCTAGGCATGGCAAAAGCTTTTGACCATGTCTGGCATCCACATCTGCTCTACAAACTTAGACTCAACCTGCTCGTGAACTGGTTTTGCTCATAAACTCTTTTCTCGAAAAGCGCACTTTCACTGTCAAACACGGAAACACGATTTCTACTATAAAGAATATCCTAGCTGGTATTCTGCAAGGTAGCATCCTTGGCCTTTATTTTACATAATTTACGCTAATGATTTCCCAAGCTTTCCAGACGACGTTAACACTCTCCTAGCCAGCTACGTTGATAACACGACAATTGTTTCCAAATCACGTTGATTGGACCATGCTCTGGCCAGGCTGCAAGAGAAAATTCCAGCCATAGAAAAATGGTGTGGTTTTTGGAAAAGCAGCATTCAGCCATCTAAATCTAAAATTCGTCTCATCAGGAAGTATTGGAGACTCGACCAAATTAAAACTCAAGTCACCCGTTTTGGCTCCCCAATCCCAAGGATCAACAAAGCAAGCTATCTCAGAGTTATCTTCAATAATAATTTCTCATGGAACGATCACATGACATAAGTACGTGGAAAGGCCTACAAAATTATGTTCAGACTGTTCCCATTGTGAAATGTTAACAGCTATCTCTACAATCAAAATCGTAAAAACAACCTTGTATTTAGCGTAAGTATATTGTAACACTCAATCGATTTCGAGGGCAGCTAAAGGTCCCTCCTCATCAGGAGAAAGAAATACCCAGAAAGAAGAAAATAAAGGGGAATTAGCTGCCCTCAAAATCGATTGAGGGTTACAATATACTTACGCTAAATACAAGGTTGTTTTTACGATTTTGATTGTAGAGATAGCGTGTTTCTCTTCTAGTCTAGCTATCTCTACATCTGAAAAAGAGACTCTACACTACAGTCATTCGAACGATTCTCACGTATGCTTCTCCTGCCTGCGCAAATGCAAAAGACAAGGACTGCAAAAAACTTCAAGTTCTTAAGAATAATCACCGGAGCTCGCTACTTCATTAGAAATCGTAGTCTGCACTCAGATTTAAACTTAGAACAAATTCAAAAATTTATTAAGCGCACAATGAAAAATTCTTCAACAAAGTAATTAGCTACAACCCGGCTAATTTCGCCAATATGTTATATTACGATATACTTGATGAAGATAAACTTCTTTGCCCTTTCCCTGCTTACTTGTTACAGTCTACCTAAACTGACCAATGAGAGCTCAGCTTACACACTCAGTAGTTTGCAAACTCACCACGTTTCGGATTCTACAAACCTCTTCATGTGTTCCGGCTAGCTTTCTCCACCTCCCTGCCCTTCTGCAGCTGCCCCAGACATGGCTTGCTGATCACCGAAGCTTGGGGCTTCATTTCTCTATTACTTTTACAAGGCTATCTCAACTGGAGAAGCTTCATTTTTGGACTTTCACATATGTCAGGACCCTAATGGGATATATTCAGGAATCTGGAAAGAGCAGGAGTAGTGCATCTCCTGCTGCATGCCAGAATAACCAACCAAAGTATCAAAGTAAAGTACAAAGTCCAAAATCTGGATGTCCATTATCCGGAATGATCTAAAATCCGAACCTCAAAACCACCAACAAACTTTTTCTCCTAGGGCTTTACGCATGCGCATTTGATTTCTCCCCTCCAAGCATAATAAAACATCTGGAGGGTCCCGATTCTTAATTTCACTTTGACACTAAATAAAATACCTTGTTACTGAAGACAATCAATTTAGTATAAATTTAGCTCCGTTGCTGCGTATTTGCTTGGCACGCATCTCAAACATTCCACATAGATACATCGTTCATTCATTCCACATAGATACATCGTTCATTCCACATAGATACATCGTTGATCTGATGCCAACCTGGCGAATCATTATTTATTATACTTTCCTTTCATTACCGCATATTTATCAAAACATTACGCTTGGCGATGATTACAAATTTCAGTTGCGCTAAAAAATGTTGACGACAAAACATTTACCAAAAGTTTCTTTCCATATGCTAAAAACAGATTTTGTCGATGATACTCATACACCGAAAGATGACATTTAGGGCTATTTGAATTAAGAATAACTGATTTGTTATTCGCATAAACCCAGAACCAGAGCCAAGACTCGTATGGCCACGCTGAGTCGCAGAATTTAGGAACCACAGAGACTGCATCAGATGGTAATATATCTAGTGCCAGCCCTCAATAAAGCTTAAGTATATGTGGGAATTTATATATCTGATAAGCCTTAAGCATGTGCAAGAAATAGACATAAGCATTAATAAGTAACTAAACTAAAACAATTCAGGCTTAATTGCCTCAATGCACAATAGAAGCAGGATAAAATTTAATGGAACATCTTGTCATTAGTCGCCAAGCTCATGATGCAAGGATAGCTAAATTTGATGATGACAACAGCTAATTTCGGATATCACAAAACAAAGGTGAAATTTTCCAGTTAACGGATTTTGTAAAGAAATGTGGACAAGGTAATAAATGAAGACGATATAAAAGAAGTTTTTCATTGTGATGACAATGCTTCTCAATCATCAATCAATTATTGAATGGAGAAATCTGTAGTATGGTTCTAGATCCAGAAAATACCGCTACCGATAGTGGAGAAAGTGGCAGAGAAGTTACCGAAAACAAGCAAATTTCGATTAAAAAGTTAGTCAGAATTCTTGAAACAGCAGTTACAGGACTTTTTAACAAGAGATTATCTCTGTCTACAGAATTAAAAAGAAAGTATTTGTACAAAAAACAAAGTTACTTAAAACAACTTACATTGAAAGAAATGTTTAATAAGATAAACAAATAAATATTATACTTTTTTTTTGTAAAGTTTGATACCCTTTAGATCATAAATAATTCCTTATTTCATAAATCGTGAGTTCATATTTTTAATTTCATAATTTCTACATGCCATCTTACTAGATTTAAAATGATGATCTATTATCCGGAAAAATCCCAACGAGTCCGTTTTTCAGACTTTTAACTGTATCATTCTACATATCTGCAATGCAACCATGGAAACGAGCACAATGAGAAGTAACTTACTAGCTGCTAGCCAAAGAGTATATAAATATCAGAGCTTTGGTGGATATGCCAAAGATTGTTATCAAGGGAGAGAATAAGTTTGTGGACAAACTGTCAGTACTCGCAAAGCTGTATATTCAAAACCAATAACCGCTAAACTGCTCGCATTGTTGCACAACATGGGATAAAAGTATTTCAAAAATAAAATTAAAAAAAAGCATGGATTGTGCAAAATGTAGCCACAAACTAATAATTGATGTGCTCAGAGAGTGGGATATATAACATCAATGGGAAGAAGCACAACCATACATTAGATTATGACAAATCCAGGTGTTTCATTTAGCATCAATCTGTACAATAGATTATTCATTGATAACTGGCATAATTCAGTTATAACAGCAGAACGTGAAGTTCCTTTACAAAAGAGAGGAATTGACTGCTGTGACAGTAGTTTGCTTAACTGCCCTGATAATGGACGGTAAAAAGATTGGTAATGTACAATCTGATTTTACAAATTAAGATTCCCTCTGCTACAGGTAAATGACAGAGGTCATTGGGATATATGCAGCACAATGCACAGTATCTCACATGTCAAGTGGGCATTGTGCAGGCAGAGCTATCTGGGACATCTATATATGGTCAAGCTGAAAGGACCCTGCTGAACTACTGGTTGATCATCTCCACTGATTCATGTACTAGTTGGTTTTCACAAAACAATGCACTCTTTCAAGCAGATGGCACCACCTCACTGGTCATAAGGTATACGGAAGTGGTTCAAGTAGCAAAACAGCAGTGTTGAAATAGTCACCTGGCCTTCAAGGTTCCCGCCTTCTCAAACATTTGTGAGATGATCTGTAGTAGTTTCTTCAATCTCTGGATTCACTATGAAGGATTGAAGATGGAAACTGTGGGACTACTGGGCAACAATACTATTACCTTGCTTTCAGCACCTCATCGACTTTCCCATGCATGTTGCTGCAAATGGCGAATCGACATGGTAATGAGGATAATAATTTGTCTTTTCAGTTTTTATTATTTTATGACATAAAATGCCTTTTATTTTTAAAAATACGGGTAAAGTGCAGAATCGCCCACTTATTTGTTTGGCGCTTTTAAGCATTTAACGGACATTTACTGGAATGATGTCAGTGTAAAATATATCCTATTAGACGATTTTTTAACAAAAAGGATAATGATAATATGCAGGAAATGAACTGTTAAATTAAACAACACGACACGAGTTTAATCCTAGTATCCGGTGCACACGGGATTTGGCTACTTTATGATGAGCAGTAAAATCGGGACATATATGATGAGTAGTAAACGAGTCATTCAAAGAATATATACTATACACTATATACTAGGTATATATACATAGTATATAGTGTATAGTATATACATAGACGTTCTTCGGGTCATTTTTGGTGTTGCGATAATTTTCAAAATCGCACCAGTGCTGCACCGTATACTAGGATTTTACCACAACACGAAACTAATTGGTTCAATAATATTTGCGTTCGTCCTCTTTAAAAATTGCATGAATTATTAGTCTGATAAAGCTATTAATTTATCATACAGCTTAGCTTTAAGGATTAGTTGATCTATTTTTTTCACTTACATCTAGAACTAATTGATGTTTTCTTGATGACACACTCACAAAAAATAACGATGTAAACACAACAGTAAATAAATATTGTAATGTTTTCATTCTGTCTAAATTTCAAACTTCCTATATCAATTATGTACACAACGTACACATACGAAAATACTTTCAGTACCGTCAACAATTACTTTTGATGCATTGACGATGTGAGTTAAGAAGTTGAATATGTCGACGCCTGCTGAAACTAAATATTTCCATGCCTCCTGAAACTAATAAATGGAATAATAATAAATCAAAAAGTTTTGAAATAAATTAGATTTCTTGATTTAGTTTTGAATTTAGACAAAATATTTTAATTCAATCTTTATTATAAAAAATTATTTTTAAAAATTCATTTGACGAAATAAACGGAAAAAGCAGATCGAGTCCTCAACTTAGAAAACGATTCATCCAATAACGCGCGCCATCTTTTGATTCAGACGTTCTTGATTGGTTGGATAAACTCATGGGTGGTTTACATATGACGTCATTCGTTACTTTACAATCATCGATCGCTTCGTGGGCACTGTCTTTAGAATAATTCTCGTTTGTTCCTGTGTTTTCTGGAAGTTTCTAGCGGGTTCCTCGTAGGTTTTAAAATGAACTTCCGACGCATTCCGTTTCAGTTTACTACTACCGATCCTTTAAAGCGACAACGTGAATTAGAAAAGCGTTTTGGTATACCAACGAGAAATATGTATGTTGATTCCATTCCAGGATATACGGTATGTAACATTCAATGTTAATCTATGTTTTATTGTATGTGACGATGCTTTCATGTAGGTTGGCTAGGATGCATTAAAATGTCGTTTAGAAAACTTAGTATTCACTGTATAATTTCTTAATGTAAGGAAAACGGATTTGCTTAATTTTCAATTAATGAGAAGGTTAAAATTGATGTCCTAAAAATTTTAAAACGGTTCTACAGGATTCGAAAATTTCTCGTTAACGAATTATTATAGTTTTTATTCTATAATTTGTTTTATAATAAATATTTTTAGTCCATGCATAGGCTTGGAGTTGACTTTTTGCATTTGATTGTAGAAGTAAAATTTTACTTTCGTAATTGATAGTTTCAGAAAAATTCATTAAGTTATTAGTTTAATAACTTAGGTCTTAAACTACAGCTGCAGTCCGACTCCAGTACTCATCATTTTACCCTCATCGGTTTCAGTTTTTTTTTAGTAATATCAGAATACCAGAATGAGACCCATCTAAAGTAGCTTCATTGTTTTATTGCATGTCGTTAAACTACAAATTGCTTTATTTTTGTGCATGTTCAGTTATCCTTACGCACTTAGTATGGCTAATGCATCCGAAAAGGATATTGAAAGTTAAACCCTTAGTTTGTAGTAACTAATTTTTAACAGATCTTTGTTTCTTTGTCAAAATAAACAAGTTTATTTTCAGTTTTTTATCATGAAACATGTAATATATTATTTTCTAAATTACATAATGAAAGATGCATGGAGGATTTGGGGAAAGTGCAAAATTGCCCATTGCTCGGCATGTTTTTAAGAATTTCATATACTCAGTAGTAATGTACACGTCGACCTATTTTAACTTGAAAATCCCAAAATTGCACAAAAATGGCATTGCGCACACTCTCGACTTTATCCGTGTACACATCGGCCTATTTTCACTTAAAAGTGAAAGAAAATTGAGAAAAGTCCAATTATTCTTACTCTTGTAAAAAGCGCCAAACAAATAAGTGGGTGATTCTGCACTTTAGCCTTTACGAATACTTCATTTTCCTGCACATCTACCAATTTATTTATCCATATCGGAAGAACTTATGGTAAAGATTTTCAGATGTGGTGATTATGTGATTTTGTATGATGTTTTCATTAGTTCGAATCCATTGTTAATGTAAGAATTTTTCTGCTTAAAATTGTTGGGGAAATTCCTAATAAAGAAGCTTGAATATGTTGCTCGCATAAACAATATGCAAGTATATGAGGCAGTGGTAAATACTTAATAAAATAATTAAATGTTAATTATAACAAATTAAAAAGAACAAAATTTACATGAAATAAAATTTTAAAATGTGATGTATAAATTGTTGCTTGTTTAATTTTACAAATGTATCATTAAGCAGCAGCTTGCTTTAAAAAGAGTGCAAAATCATTTAATTTTACGTTGTGCAGCTATTGACCTGCAAAAATTGCTACCTGTTTGTGTGTGTAAAAAAGAAAATTAGTGTTAAGCATGTTGTAAATGCTATGAAATTTCTTGAAAGAATCAATATGAATGTTGAATATAAGTGACGTTTTCTCATTTCTTTTAGCTTGAATTGGAAACATATAAGTGAGGACTATTATGTAAGGTATTGTTCTGTTATTAGGACCGGATCCAGAAATGTGTGTAGGTATACAAGTGTAAGCATGAATGTATGTAGACTGTGGGGAAAAAAAAAAGACTGATCTATATTTCCCGTTTTACTGGGCTGATTGACAAAATTCAAATTGCGTTCTTTGTGTCTCAAAAGTGCGACTCTATATATAGCTCTATTTCTAACATTGTTATTTTGACACGAAATCGGACTTTTTCTGAAATAACATACCAATTTTGGGGTAAAGTGCAGAATTGCCCACTTATTTGTTTGGTGCTTTTTACAAGAGTAAGAAGAATTGGATTTTTAAATGAAAATAGGTCTGTGTACATGGATAAAGTCGAGGGAGTGCATAGTGCCATTTTTGTGAAATTCTGGGATGTTTTTTAAGTGAAAATAGGTCAATATGTACATGGATAATGAGTATGTGCAATTAGACGTGCCAAGCAGTGGGCGATTCAGCACTTCCTCTAATTTTTTTGCATATTTCAATTCTACGACTAAAATTATGCCCAAATATGAAATTTTGTCAAATTAGGTGTGAAATTTGCAGACAAATTCACAAATTTATGTTGGTTCCTTTTTTTTCAGTTTGCGGCAAGAATAGTTCACTGGGTGATATTCTTAATATATGGCAACCTATTTTCCTTTCCTGTGAGAGAGGGGAAAAAAACTCATTCTTTATTTGAATTTCATTTTAATTGTTTAAGTTGCATGGTTTCTTTCGAATAACTGTTTTAAAAATTTCGATTTATCCATTCGTAGTTTAAATATAAGGGGCATCATTTATTTTTTCAAATAGTTTTCTTTATAATTTTTTTGTCACGGTTATAATTTTAGGTAATTTAAACATTTTTAGACTTTTATTTTAATTGTGTTGCATTGTCTCTTCAGATAATCGTTTTAAAATTTTCTATTTGGTCATTTGACTTGAGCATTTTAAATACATTTATTAATATAAATTAGCATTTTATTTTATTTATTTGAATTGCATTTCTTTCGGAAGAATACTTTAGGTTCCAGACTATAATGCATCTGAAAACTATATATTAAAAGAGAAAATACAGTAAAGCACAGTTAACATGCCTTTCAATGTTCCGCTCAGAAAAGGTATATGAATGAGAAAAATGTATAACCGACATTTTAACTTAGGATGACTTGTATATATTCCTTTAAATAGCTTTAACATTGTGCTTATTGCTTTACACAATTTTATCATCCTACGTTTAGTTTCTTAAAATGTTATTGATATTTTACCAAGGTCAAATATTTTATTTTTGAAATCGCAAGAATCAAATATCATAAGATTAAAAAGTTTTATATTGAAAAAAAACTATATTTTATACTCCCTCCCCTTAATGGCTTGCTTTTTTTCTTCAGGCATTCTGCAAGTATATTAAAAAAAGCATCAAACTTTTTTAAACACCTTGGTATTTCTGACATTCATTTTAAATAAAGTTACTGCCTTCCATTTCATATAGGCCTACAAGCACCCGAGTGATAAAGTTGCTGAACACTGGTAGTTCGTTCCGGGGTTCAAATCCCGACGAGTGGGCTGGTTGCATGGGCGTTTTTGTGGTTTTTTGTCATTGTAATGTGTATGCCAGCTGGTTTTCCTTAGAAAGTTCTTCACAAAGCCATTCCTCCTTTTAGGGCAGGTAGCCCTGCTTTGCCATAACTAATCAAATTCAATCCAAATCCATTTCATCGGTACTTGGTCTGAGCCTTTATCAGTCTTTAGAGGCTAAGCATTTTAAGGCATGAGATGAAAGGAAAGGCTGGTTTCATCAATAGGGAAAATGTCTTAAAGTGACATCTGCATACATCACTGGATAATTTCCTGAATATTCAAATAATTTGACCAAGAAATCATGGGATTCTCCATTTATGATGATAACGTAATTTATACAAACATATAGTTGAAAGCCAGTCACTCTTCACTTTAATCTGCAATGATACCATTTTCATCTTTTTCGTTAGCACAAGCTCAATTGATGGTATTTGCTGGTGTACACGTCCAAGTGTTTTCTCTTTGAACCCCTAAATTCTTTTTAATTAATTCCAAGTATCCTGAAAGTATATTCAAAAGCGTCCAACTTTTTGAAACACCTTGGTAATTCTGACAAATTTCCCTTAAAATTTTTGCTTACTTTCCTCCCTAATTTCTGTCTTTCCTTCTACATTTATTTTCAGTGCTCGCACAAGAAAATTAAGATTTTTTGATTGTTACACTTCCATAAACTTTGCATTCTTCCCAAATTTTTTAAAATATCAATTACGTCAATTGCGTTTCAGCTGAAAACAACTTTTCATTTTCTAGACATTTTAACTGTAGATAAAGTTTAAAGCAAAGTCCAAAGGATAAATATTTTAATTAAAAGATTTTTTTTTTTTGCTAAAAGACAAAGAAATGAAACAGTCCAGCAGTGTTTATTCTTTCTTACCACCGAGTGATACGATTATTATATAGGCTGCAAAAAATCTAAATCATATTAAAGATCATGTTTTTTGTATAATCTATAACACAAGAGAAAATTAGCGGTACTTTTCCATTTTGCCGGCACAAGCGATAAAGTCACCGAAAATGATACAACCAATACCAAACGAAATATCCTCGCTGGTAATCTTTTACATGTCATTTTCAAAACAATTTGCAGCCATTTCTTATCGATTGATTATTTCATTCAATACTGGTATACAATTACATAGAATTTTGACCCAGATAGTTTAAATTTATACCCTAAGGCCATTTGCGGCAATTGAGTCAATTAGGATGTAATTACACCACTGACCCGAAGAAGGCAAAGTCAAGGGTTAAATTCATCAATTCTAATGAGAATGCACTAGCGAAGTAAAGCACTGCGGTTTTACATAATTTCGGAGTAAGCTATTTGTACGAATTGAAATAATTCTTGCATTTAAACTTTTATTCGAAATTAAGATATAATTACTTGAAATAGCAATATAAGAACAATAGCAATACTTGAAATAGCAATATAAGATATAAGAACTTGAAATTAATGTAGGTAATTACTGAGAGAATTAGATTTCTGTTGTACCATGAAAGCGTAGCAAATTCCTAATGTTTTTTTACAAAATTTTAAGCCTTATTAAAATGTTCATACCTTTAAAATAAAAATTTCTTAGAACTAACATTTGTTAACACTTTTTATGTGCGTGTGTGTTGTCGCCAATAAAGTCTGCTTGGCGAGATTTGCGCCAGCGAAACGGAAAAGTACCAAATTAGCTACTTAAAACCTTCTTTCGAAGGGGATTGATGTAAAAATTTATACTTGTATATATAATTTTTAAGGCAATGACATGACCCCAACTATAAATGTCCTGCTTGCTTAAAAACATTAAGAAAATAAACAGCAAACTTTCTCAGTTTTAGACAATTCAATTTAAATGCAGTCAAAGTAAGGTAGCAGCTGATAACATGGCGAAGGTAAAAATTTGCTCTTACAGATGTTTAAAAAAAGAAATTAAAAAGTTTAAAAATTTAAATAATATCTATAATTTAAAAAAAAGTAGCTTTTCATATAGTATTAATAAATACTTATGCATCATTGAGAGAAAAAATGACATATCATTAATTCTCCCTAAAAATTATTTGAAATTAAAGTTAAAAATAGCTGTGGCAATTTGCTGTAACATGGCGTTATCACTAAGAAAAAAGATGCCAAATTTTAAAACTCAAAAATATATAAATTCTTGTACATCTTGGAAAATTTTGAATAAAAAAAAAACTGATTTTTACATGTGTGCTTAGAACTACACCTACTTTAAGATGATGGTAAAAATTTTATAGGTTATAATTCAAAATTTTTTCAAAAACTTTATAAAAATAAGTCATAAAAAATGGGCGAATTTTATTTAGAATGAACCTAAATTTTGAAATAAGAAAGGAAGAATTGCATACATTTAATAAAAAAGGAGATATTAATAACTATATACCAAACTCTGTTAACATTGAGTAGCTAATATAGCTAAATTTTTAAAAACTACTCGTACGATTTTTACAAAACTTAAGCAGTTTTGCATAATTTGAATGGTAGAACTGAAATATAGGGGAAAAATTGGCATGTCATTTCCCTTCCATTGTGCAAGACGTAAAAAAAGGCACATTCTCTTTTCAAATAAATTTAACAAAGTGCCTAAACCACATTTGATGTTATTATCACTTTCAACAACTATGAAAAATTTCAAAACGCGCCAATATATAAATTCAGGAACATCTTCGAAAATTTTGAATAAATTCTTTGCAGGTATGCTTAGAAATACATCTATCTTAAGACGCTGGTAAAAAATTTATAGCTTATAATTTAAAATGTTTTTCAAAAAATTTTAAAAATTATTTTAAAATACAAATTTTAAAAATAATTAAATTTTGATGAATTTGAAAAAATTGAAAATTTGAATAAAAAAAAATTTTAATTTTTTGCAGGTATGCATAGAAATACATGTATGTTAAGATGATCACAAAAAATCTTTAGCTTATAATTAAAAATTTTTCAAAAAATTTATTTAAAAATAAAAATAATAAAAAAATGGGCGAATTTATTTGGAATGAACATAAATTTCAAAATGTAAAAAAAAAAAATCAAACAAGAGTAATAAAAAAGAGATATTAATAAATTTTATGCTAAATTCAGTTAACATTGAGGAGCTAATTTAAAACAAAACTTGGCAGTCTGGCATAATTTGAGTTGTAGAATCGAAATATGTAAAAAAATTGGTATGTTATTTCAGAAAAGTCTGATTTTGTATCAAAATACCTATGTTAGAATAGTGCTATATATAAATCTAATATATATCCTATCCTAAGTCGCGCTTTTAAGACATGAAAAACGCAATTTGAATTTTGTCAATTGGCCCAGTAGAACGGGAAATACAGAACTGCCCCCCGTTTTTTTTGGGGGGGGGCACAGTGTACATATGTGCATAAATACATATTCATTCATTTCCGAGTATGGTCCTGATAACAGAATAATACCTTAAATAATAGTTCGCCTCACAAAAAAAGAAATTTCCACATTTGTTTTGAAATTCTCTGCATTTGATTCTCTTGACATTTTGATAATTATTTTTTAACAATAGCTTGCCTACTCATTGAATGTTATTTGCTTATTAAGAGGCTGTATAAATCAGATTCAGATACACCTAATCGCTTGTTTTGAAGTTTTAAATGGCAAAGAATTGTAGTGCATTCTCCATATTTTTTTTAATGATTGCATTACATTCTAGGAGAAGGGAATCAAAATTATTATGTAATTATATTATTATTTGCATTTACATATTTCAGTTTCCTTCAAAATGTTCTTCACCATCATTGATACACTTTACTTGATGTTTCGGCAAGCACTGAAAACGTGAAATAATTCTAGTACTCGTAAAAAAGAATATTAATATTATCCAAGACATGTAACATATTTTCTCTAGAACTGCACTTCACATTAAGAAATTTCTTTAAACAGAAAAAAAGGTCCCGCTTTTTGTAACTAGCCTAATTATTTCAAGTGGCCATGAACATTTTTAATTACTGATTCATTAAAAATGTGTAAAAAATTAATGAATTAAATCTTCTTGGAGATGGTAAGTGGTTAGTTATTAAATGTGTGAACGAGGAATGTTATTACTTTGTCATATTCTAAAATTTATTTTTATTTTCAGACAAATGGCATGCAAGAGTCGAGTTCTGCTTCCAGCAGTCCAAGGCTTCAGCATCGAGTTCCAATATTTGTTGAAGGCTCTGATAAACCAGTAAAACCTGCTGTAGACTCTCAGAATGCATCCGATGGAGGCCGGAAACCACATGTGAGAATAATTCCTATTGAAGTGGAAGGAGCTAGTAGTCCTCATGCAACTAGGCAAAGGACATTTTCGGGACCAGCTGGATTTGTCAGGAATGGCATGCCAGAAAGGGAGCTTAATATTCAGGAGCCTCTGTCTCCTACGAAAAGATCCATGCAAGATCTGTCTAGTCCAAATAAAATAAAATCTCCAAGTGTACCTCGCGTGTGTAACATCCCAATTCAAATAGAAGGAAGGCCTGATGTTCGAAAGCCAAAAAGTCCAATTTCTTATTCTTCGAAAAAATCGGAAAAAACCAGAAAACCAAATGGGAGCTGTATTTCTAAAGCAAGAGATGAAAGTAAAGTGCAGCATGAAGAAAAGCCATCTGAACCTAATATTAATGTTCCCTTAAAAAGGATTGAGAATATCCTTGAAGAATTTAAAATGTATAAAATTGGTGTTGAGAATTTCAGTGGAACTGTTAAAGATAAGCAGTATAAATATTTAGATGAAATGCTGACAAGATGCATGTTGAAACTTGATGATATTGATACTATGGGTGATGAAACAGTTCGATTATCTAGAAAAGCAGCTGTTAAACAAGTTCAGCGGACTATTGATCTGTTAGAATCAAAAGTGTCACCTGTTGAAGATCCTGCAAAAGAAGGATCTATGCTTGTAGATTCTCAAGGAGATAAAAATATTGCACCTAATGAGAAATTAGAAGATAACCAGAAAGATGAAGAAATAAAGGAGGCAGTGGGAGAAACATCTGACAATGAGAAATTAGAAGATAACCAGAAAGATGAAGAAATAAAGGAGGCAGTGGGAGAAACATCTGACAAAGATGTGGAAATGACAGAAGTGGCATATGAAGAATCAAAGGATGAAGAAATGAAGGAAGCATTTGAGAAAGATAAAAAAATGAAGGATGAAACATCTAATGAGATGACAGAAAAAGAAGTGGAAAATGAAGAAATGAAAGACCAGAAAGCAGCTTTTGATTCTCAAGTGCCTGAAGTGGAAATGGGAGAAAGTGATAAAACTGTTTGTAAAGATGAAGAAATAAAAGCTGAAACATCTGAAAAAGTTGAACAAACCAATCATGAAAAGGAAGTTCCTGATTCTCAAGTGCCTGAAGTAGAGATGGAAGAAAGTGAGAATGTTACTGTTAAGTTAGTAGAAACTGATAATGCAGTTACAAAGTCTCAGTTAGTAAGCATTGAACCACCTGAAAGTTCATGTGATGCAGAAATGGTAGAAGCAGATACACAAAGTGTCCCAGTATTGCAAGAAAATGCATCTACTTCACAAATGTCTTGTAATACAAATTGTACAGACACAAACTTGATTCTAAACCAAGATGCTTCTGTTTGTAAAGCATCGGATTCTGTTCATAACTCTGATGCAAAAATTGAAACTGGTTTTCAGGAAATGGATGAAAATAAGCATGTACCAACAGTTAAAAATATGGAGATTAACAGTACCAATGAAATGAATAAATTACAAAGTGGTGAGAAAACTGTTTTAGATCCTTCTGTGGATGTAAAATCCCGAGAGACTGAATCTTCGGATTTTGATATGCAAAACTGTAGTGAAAATAGTGATTAACCAGCATATAATACTTGATGAAAAGCCTGAAACTGAAATTCTGACTGAACTTTAATTTATGTAATTTAAAATTGTTATGTGGTTAATTTGTATGTTAAAACAAGATACTGCAAATGACCAGATGACCAAAGCTAATCAAATACTTTCCATTTTTGTAAATAGCTATTTATATTTGTACATAATATGAACTTCATTTAAATGTTTTCCTGTATATAATAAAATGTCTTACTTCAGAAATAAACTGTGCATTTAAATTTATGATGAGTGAAGTAGTATTAAATCTACTAAAGAAGATAAAAACTACTGTAAAAAGATTAACTGTTGGGCAGAAGAATGGTAGGTTTAAAGATGTAGAAAGTAATAATTGAATTTTGTATATTTTAAATTTATTTCTTAAGTATAATGACAAAAACTTTGATTACGTTTTTTCCTGAGAAAGTTTCATGTACTGTTCGATAAAATGTAATAACATTTCATAATTGATAAAGCAGGAAGCTGTTTTTGAAGTTAAAAAAATTAGATTTTAATTATTAATTGTAGGAATATATTCGGGAGGGTTATCTGCTTTGTGAGTTTTCATTGGCTGTTGACAAGAAAAGTATTTTTTAGGATTGATGTGAAATTAATTAGGTTAAAATCTGTGTTTGTTCGTATATATAAGCTGTAATTAGTAAAGTGTCTGTATAAGTTGGTCTACTTGACTGAGAAACTCGTTATTTTTCGAAGTTTGGGATTTAATCAGGGTAGGGATTAATGATATTCTGGAATTTTTTATAACCAACTTTAAAATTTGTAGTTACCTATGCAGCAATTAATGTTTTAAGTGCGAGGTGCAAATAGAAACAAACGCATAGGAATAGTCTAAATCTAAAATAAATTATCTCATTTCTGTGGGGAACACAGCAAGCTTTTTTCGCATAGTGCATAAGTTGTAATTTCTTAATGCACATCGTATTTGCCATCAGGAATAACATCTTTCACACTAGTAATGATATAAAATGGTAAATGAATTATCCCGTGATCTTGTTCAGCAAACTAAGTAAAGTTCAATAGGTATCTCAAGCATGTAGCTAATGAAAGTTAGTTATGTAATTAATCAGTTTGCCTATTGTCCCAACTTATGTAATCTATTGTTTGTAAATGAAGATTATTTTTAATATGAGTGCATAATCAAGGGTATCGAAGGACTTGTATAATTTTAAAGGTACCAAGGTATTTTTCATTCTTTAAGTGTAACATTTGCCATCACACGATGAATGTTTCTTTTACGCGGAAGTGTCCCGTTTTTCGATTTATATAGAAATGTTGTGTGTCAAAATACTATCAATGCGCTGTCAACACTCCATTTGGAGACCGAAACTTTGGAGCAGTGCTTCACTTTCAGTGTGGGGTTAGCCCCTCTTTTCTTTCTTACCTCCAGAGTCTGGCTAGTTGTTGCAAATATTGCGTATTTCAGAGAAAATGTAATTTTGATTATTACGGTACCAAAAATAGTCTTTTGCATTAATATGTAAATATATATTAATGTTATCGGGCTTTGTGAAGAGTATACTAGAGTTCTTGAGTAGGCTACATGAAGACGTTATTGTGAAATGAATATTTAATGTGCTAGTTTAAAATTACTGTGAATATCGAGAAATTGGTACAAAATTATTCAATCCATCATATTAGTGATTTGTAATTTGCTTATATTTGTTTAAGTGAAATTTTTTATTACTTAGTAATGTCTGATTCTCATTTTTGTGCTGTGCTGAACTATTTCAGTATTTAGTTCTGAATGGTTTTCTGTTAGCATCATTTATTAGTATTCTCGCAAATATTGACAAAATATCCCCATCTCGGGGAAAATATAAATTTAGTGCACCGGAGAAGTGACTGCATTAAGAAGGTTTGCACAGGTTTTTAATTATGTAACTTTTGGTATGTATGTTCGGCCATCAGCGGCTGAGATATAAAGTCTGAACACTGGTAGTTCGGTCGGGGGTTAGAATCAAGCGAATTAACTGGCTGCGTGTATGTTTCTGCCGTTTCGCTCATGCATAACTTCCATACGAGTCAATTACTCTTAGAAAGACCTCAGCGAAGACATCTTCCCTCTTATGCTTTGCCGGAAGTTAAGAAACTAAACCATTTGTTATGTATATTTCTTTTAGAACAAGCGCATAGAGAATTTCTTACTATATAAAATAGATTTTACATTTTATCTCAAACTACCTATTTCTATGTTTATTTATAAAACTAACTTTTGTTACAAAAACTTAAAGGGAGATGGGTAAGGGCAGCAATTTTAAGATTTTGTCCCACCTAGGAAAAATGCTAAATCCAGCGCTGCAGAGAGGTTAGTGAAAATGAAAAAATTTCGATTGACGAGTTAGTCAGTATTCTCGACACAGCAATTACAGGACTTGAACAGTGGAACTGAACAAGAAATTATGTCTGTTTATAGAATTAAAGAGAAAGTATTAGCACAAAAAATGAAGCAATTTGAACAACTTACATTGAAAGAAATGTTTAATAAAGTAAACAAATAAATAAGCCTTTTTTTTGTAAATTTTGATACCCTTTAAATAATTGCTCTTTATTTCATAAATTACGGTTTCATATTTTTAATTTTATAATTTCTGCATGCCATCTTGCCAGATTTAAATTGATGATGTATAATCTGGAAAAACCCCTAATCCGGAATCGTTGAAGTCTGGATTAAAGACTTTTTACTGTTTTATAAGCAGTATCAGTTTACATTGTGGAAGATGGTTTTTCGTCATTTAAAATCTTGAAGAATATGAGATTCATAATTAGCAGAATTATTAATACAGTTGAAAGAGATACTTTTGAAAAATTGTGCATGTCTTTGGAGTTAATTTTGGGATTATAATAAATTCACTTGCTAGTCGGAAACCAAGGAGCTTCCATAATGCAATGAGGAATTTGTAATTTTTTACATCTAGTTTGGATAATAGGGGATCATGCAGAAATGGCGTAAGTTAAAATTGATCAGATAATACAAGGGGTGATCAAATGAAAAGGTATGAAACGACGTAATAGTTAAATATTTGAATATTCTGCCATGGGAGAATGTAGCGAGACATCTCTGGATGCGATTGGAGTCTCTGACTGGGATCGGAGCATGCGCAGGAGAGAGCAGAGGCTCTTATCAAAAGCGGCAATCCATATGAGGTCAGGATGGCGTTCGCCTTGCAGAATTCGACGACTGAGGAGCAGCAAGGTGTTATCCGATTTCTGACAGCAGACGGTTAGAAACCGGTAGCTATGCATCGGCGGATGGTGACAATTTATGGGGAGAAATGCGTCTCTGGCAAGTCTGTCAGAAAATGGAGTGCCTGTTTTCGTGCAGGCTATGAGAGTGTGGGTGATGGCCCGAGACCAGGCCAGGCAAACACTGTCATCATGAGCGATCTCATCGACAAGGTGGACGACCTAGTGAGAAGTGATCGGTGTGTCACATTGCGAATGTGGCGGTGAAGGTGGATGTCAGCTATGGAACCGTGTGGACAATTGTTCACGACAGGTTGCAATATCGGAATGCGTGTGCTGCTTGGGTTCCGAAGCAACTCACCGACGAGCAAAAGGAACTGCGTATGGGGCTAGCACTGCAACATCTGTTTCGGTATCGGGAAGACCTCGCTTTCAGGGAGCGGATTGTCACAGGTGATGAGACCTGGTGCCATCACTAGAGCCAGAGACAAAGTGGGACAGCATGCAGTCGATGCATGCGTCGTTGTAAAAAGTTCAAAGCCGTGACGTCAGCAGGCAAGGTGTTGCTCACCATCTTTTTCGACGTTCAAGGTCCACTACTTGTGAAACTTCTCGAGCACAGAAAAACCATTAACTCCGATGTGTATTGTGAGACACTTCAACGCCTACACAGGTCCAACAAGAACAAAAGACTGGGGCTGCTCACAGAGGGTGTGGTTCTGCTCCGTGATAATGCGCGTCCACACGTCTCCAGAGTCGCACACATGGAACTGGCCAAGTTCAAGTGGGAGATGTTGGACCATCCGCCTTACAGTCTGGACATGTTGCCCTGCGAAGAAACACTTGAAAGGGAAGCGCTTCAACTCGGACGACATACTCAAGGATGCTGTGAAGGACTGGGTCTCGTCATGGCCACAGGAATTCTGAAAACAAGGAATCCTGCATCTTGTTCATCAGTGGGATCATTGTGCTCAGGTGTATCGTGTATATTTTGAAAAAAATCTCCATTTGTACCCACCATGTCGTTTCATACATTTTCATTTATCACCCCTTGTAGTAAGATGTAATTTGCATTTGTTTACAACTGAGAGATTGGAATTTCTAGATATGCGTGGGTAAATATTCATAAATGCTGTGTTGTTTTCTTAAAGACTTCTTTTACATGACTCTTGAAAGTTAATTTAATATCCAGGGTAATGCCAAGATGTTTACTTCTCTTACTGTTGGAATTTCTGAGTTAAAATCATATTACAGAGATATGAATATTAATTTTATTTCTTTAGAAAAGGCATGTGTTTTCATGTGGCAGGCTTTATTTTGAATCCTTTTAAATGATTGTGGCATTTTGTTGAATGCATGAATTAGAATGATAGAGTAGGTCAAAGTTGTGGCATGTTGAAGAGAGTAATTATTGCAATCTTTAAGCTTTTACGATAATAATTGATGTCAAGGTGGCTTGGATATATTAAAGATGTTTGAGGATTTATTGGCATTGCTTGGTACTTTCTGTTGCTTAAGATTTTTAATAATTCTATTAACTTTATACAAATCAATGTGAGAGATGGACTGTGCATTTTAAGCTCTATCCAAGTGCCTTTTTGTTGTGGCATGAACTCAGGCCAATATAACAAGACTTGCATTTCCCCTTGAAAATTTTACAGAAAGAGATTTATTAATGATCGTAAATGAATAAAGGTACTGTTTTCTTTCTTTTTAAATGATCATGGGAATTTTATTTTCACAATGGAGTTGCCAATATAAGTTTTAATAACAAATGTAGATGAAGGCTAACACATGGTGCCACATAGCAATTAAATGTATTTATTTCTGTACCTGTCTGTGGGCAGTTCTAACAAAATCTTCAGTTTTAGTAACAAATGTAGATGAAAGCTAACACACGGTGCCACATAGCGAATAGATGAATTTATTTCTGTACTTGTCTGTGTGCAGTTCTAACAAAATCTTCAGTTTTAATATTACTGACTGTGTCTATCATTGTATGTAAAGATTGTGCCATTGTGAATAGTCATGAAATTAAAAGT